TTGAAATATACTCCAGATCGTTATCGGCTTCGCGCCGCGATTGTGTTTGTTAATCACATATCTATCGCCCGGTTTCATCTTTATTTTCCACACTTCATTTATTTAATCTGCATCGCTCGGTATTTCGTATTTCCGTTATTGCCGTTCTTAAATGTTATCGCCTTATTTGCATTTCTGTTTCGTTTCGGTTGTGCCCATTGAATATATTATACGGATGATTTGTTTTGTGTCCGTTCGTGCTACGCCTATTAATAGGATTGTCCTTGTTAACTCGGCTGGTTTTCTGATGTGAGGTTCGACTTTTGTTATTTATAGGTTGTTTTTGTTGGTTATACTATAATTTGAAAAAAAATACGGTTCTTGTTGTAGACATGACGCAGTGTTTAGTTACAGTAATATCGACAATACTTGTTCTCAAACATTGTTGTGGGTCTTTATAAGTTATAACCATAAAAATTTCCTATTTTATTTGTTATATAAACTATAAAACCACGCTCCTAATATGATAAAACAATAATTTTCATTCCATGCTCTTAAACCGTACTTCGTAGCTTGTTCCCAGAAGCACAATATCCAATGTTATTTCTAAGAAAAACCTACTCGCGCTCAGTTCCACGCTCTTAATTATTGTTTTAATTTAACGTATCACCAAATCCGAACAAATAACTATAAACCTACCCCAACACGAACAGTCGAACAATATAGAACATCGTTTGCAGCGCGAGTCACGGTTGAAAAGAACAGTTCCGCGGAAATACTTGTGATTATAACACGGTTCGCCGAGCCACTTCGCGCCTACAATGAGCTCATCGCCGTTAATTCCGCTACATTTCGCAACACCACTCGAAGGTAACGTTAATAAAGTGGGCTTATTTGTAGCTCGGAATGCGGTTCTGATTTTTGCAGGCGACTTGGCAATTTCTAAAGCGCGCAGTCTCGCTGTAAGCCGCTTTGTCAACAGCGGTTCATAATGGGGGGATTTGTAACCGGGACCCCTCTCCCCCCACGTACCCCCCTTGTACCATCCCGTCACCACCCACATGTTAATTGTCGCCTCTCGAACTAACCGCTCTCTCAACGGCGATAAAAACCAGAAGTATCACGAGCAGTCTCTCATTGTGATCCTGTCTTAGCTAATCCACCTCCGCTTGCGATCTTCAGTGCCCCCACCATGAGGGATTTTATTGAATTATTTGTTTAATACCAACAATCTTCGTGTATGAAAGACGTTGAATATGGATATGATTTTTTAAACGTTTTGTAATCATCTCCGGTAAGTTTTTTCTTGACCGACAATAATAATGATACTTCCGGAAGATTGCAAAAACATGCGTAAAAAACAATGTTAAGTGATTAAGCGGCCTGTGTATCATTGATCGAAGAAATATGTGTTAGCTCTAACCTAAAACAAATTATTTGTCCTACTCGAAATATTTCCAACTTCGCTTATACTTTGTAATGCAAAATGTATTGGTATGCAAGTGGCGTGCGATATTTGTTTTTGGGTGTGGCTCTTAACGGTGGGTTTATCTATGATAAATCTCATGCACTTACTATTTCATGAGGTGTACATTGGCCTTGAGACATCTTCAGGGTCTATGTATCCTCCAGCGGGTGGTTTCACAATTAAAAATCGTTCAACTAAAGAGTCATCAAAAGAATGTCAATGGAATCAATATTTGTTTTCAACCATGCCGTGTGTTGTCAAGAATATTTTAATCCTGTTTTTCTTAAGTAGGGCCTAAAATCGTTATTGAAAGATTGCTAAACACACTAAATGTGATCTTAAAAATAAACTTTTCCTTATTGTAAGTGGCTATTTTTCTTAACGATTCACTTAAATAGACACTTGACTCTGAGACTGTACAATGTTCTCTGTGACTTTCCTGGCGAGCATTTAAAGCAGAACGGGGTCGAGATACGCGGCGCGGTGTGCCGTAGTTTGTATTCCGTAGTGTTGTGGTGTAGCTCCCGTGCACACAATGCCGTTCCATTCATTATTGTTGTATTGAAACAATAAGATTTAATAAGTCACGAGAGATAATGGCGGCATTATATGTTTCCGTCGATGTCACGGAATTGCCTGTAGGTCTTGTTGGTCCCCTCTGCTCCTGCTTGTCACATTTGGATCCGGCTCGAAGGACCAACAAAGTGATGGATTTTCAAAATCGAACCCAAAGAAGGAAAATATTGGTTTCCAACTAGTTTTTCGTAAGAAATGTGATCACAGCTGGTAAATGCATTAACATTTTGCCGTCCCACTTGATGTCTCCGCTTCAGCGTCGATGAATCTCTTCAGACACTCCGAGCCGCGCAGTAAACATGATTTACTTTACGACAAATCTCCATATAGCGTTACATTTGTCTGTAGTTGGCGGTTTACGGCAGACAAACTGATTGGTTGAGGAGAATCACTTCTCAGTATAATGCACAGTGAAGCCAATGATTTTATACTTTAACTTTGGACTACATTTACAGAAAAAATGCAGTAATTGACGGGGATACACTACAATCATTTGGCACCAAAACGATCCTGTTGTCAACACTGGCTTGGCCAGTGATTTTCACAATATTAACAATTATGATAGTAGTGTAACTAGAGTATTTAAACCCAAATGGGAAAGCAGGTTTGGTGTATGTGGAGATACCTGAGTATCTGTGTTACTGACAAAGTCGAGCGCTAGGACGACCAAACAAGTCACAAAATTAGGCTGCGTGTGATATTGGTCAGCTGCCACCTGTTCTCGAGTAGCCTCTGTTGGTCAACGTTGATTTCTCTTCAGGTACGTTTCCCAACCCCTAACTCAAACATACATCACCAGCAAGTTCAACGGTACAGCCAGGGCCGCGGGAAGGGATGGCGGCCATTAATGCGTTGGCTCAGAATGGTCCAGTCAATAGATCGGTAATTACGTACAACAAACATCGTAATGAACATCCCGGAGTTATTCACCCGTGCTGGGACTCGACGTTTCCGGATCTGAATATATCAAAGATAACGTTCCGTCTGGTGAAAGCTATAATATAAATCATAAAGACCTCGCGCGCCGGAAAAGGGAACAAAAGCTATTGTAATTAGTTCGTCTCTGTCTGTGAGACAATGATAAAATATCGAATAATTCGTGGTCCGGGGTTCCAAAGTGTTGTTTTACGTGACCGCTCGGCGGGAAAATTGAGGAAACGGCGGGAAAGAGGCGTGCTTGTGAGTGTGCGTGTGTGCGTAATGTTTCCTCGGGATGGCTTATCACTGCTTGTAGGGGATTTGGTTAAGTAATCTAAGCTGCTCTTGTAGACTGCGTGAGATTGTAGTGCATTCTCAAGATATTGTGTTAAGAACTTTATAACTAGTTTTTAAATGTAACTAGTGGGGCCAGAGAGTTCTGAAAATGTATGAGAAGGAGGAAAGTACATACGAAACAAGGGGTGAAGCATTGATCAATAATTATAGTTTTCTTTGCTGATATAATTATCGCTCCCACTCGAAAAGAGTGTTGGAAATTCTTAACAAAATGTCAGTGCACCTCGGTAAATATCTACCGGGCTTAAAAAAGAACGAAGCCCCAAGAATGAGCTATTCTACATATCACTCGGCGTCACATTTTAATACAAAATCTGAATTACAAAACGAGGTGATTTACATAAATTGAAAGCACTTTTTTCTAAACGGGCCGCATAAATATTTATTTTCGTCCAAAGTGGGGGACGAGAAATAACTAAAAGTAAACTCATACAATAAATATGTGACGCTAGAAAGCCGCTGTGTTATTGTTATGCAAATGCAAAGATGGAGTCACAACATATTATACAAGGTCATTTCCTGCGGACCTCAAAGTTGTTGAATATGACAATGTCATCGCATTAATTATTAACATTGCCTTCGCAACAGCTGATTATAATATTAAATGTAATGAAAGCAAATGCGTCTGTCCTTCAACCCAGGAATCAGAGGTCGACGATGTCATTAATGTTCTGATTCAATATTCAGTTTGTTTCTGTGTTATTATTTTAATGACATCTACAAACTAATCGTTACTTTTCAATGACGGAGTAATAATTATTATAGTCATCTGTTTCACTGACATTACTGTCGTAGCGTGGAATACAAATAATATGCGGTTAGGTTATCATTACCGTATAATATGGTATAGAACATGTTATCTAACTTTGTTTTATTTGTGATATTTCTTGGCCGTTGAGAAAGCGGAGTTAGAACGAAATAAATAAAACTATTCTGTTGTTTGGGAGTAAAAATTATAAAGTGGTCGAATTGAATACGTTAAACGTTTACACGATAATAATGTAGAATGTAAATGGTAAATTCTTTCAACCTTGATTATAACCTTGGAGTCGCTTACTTGTTCATATAATATAATATTACTTATGCACAATACTTTTATCATATGCCTAATCCAATTATATTTTCAAAGAATGTATTGATGATGTTAAGTGACATTTCGGTAGCTTTTTTTTATTTTTTATATCAAAGCTTCTTATATTTTCTGATAGAGTGATAGGTTGGAAGTTAAAACAAATAGTCTCTTGATATTTCTCACAATTTTCCCTTAACGCTGGAATTTATAACGTGATTAAATGTTTCCTGTAAAACAGATTGCAAGTAATGCATCTGTCAAATGTTTGCGTTTTTTAACAAAGCAAACAAACAAGTCGTGTTTAACTTTGCATTTCATTAACTAAGTTTAAAAATAGCTTAAAGCTGAGTGGGGTACAGTGCGCACCTAAAAATTTTGTTTCGATCCTAAATAAAGTCTTAAGCTTTTTGATGGTTGTAAGCTAGATCCAGCTGTCATTGGTAATTCGTCTTTTAATAAAGGCTCGTCGCCAAAGAGCCAGCAGATCTTAGTCAGTAATTCATCCAACTCTCGCCATTCGCCCATCCTCCCTGGTGTGTCTATATCATATATCTAATATAACTAATGTTATTTTTACTGATTACACTCGATTTCGAGCACCATGTTTACTGATCTCTCCTCTTGTTTCAGGCCAAGATGCTTGAGTCTTCTCATGCTTGGCTCGGGGCCTCCACGTCATCATTGGCCGGTAAGTCTTCGTCTTTATCACTAAATGTTAATACAGTAACTTCGTGTGAAACTTTGTATCATGTTAGAATAGTCGTGATTTTATTTTTTGCTGGTGTCGTAATATCATTGTAACATTGTATTGCACATTTATTTTGGACACCTTCATAAGTATATTTTTTTAATTCATTACTTTTCTTTGTTTGTTTGATTTGGCAGTTTTAACACGTTAGTATATGTCTGACCCCTCTGTATCTAATCTCATGAGTGTGTACGGACTGAATAAACTCATTATTAAATCACAATTCTTTGGCGTGATAGGAAAGAAACTGTCAGTCTAAGATGTGAAGGCAGATGCAGAAAGTATTACCATAGATTTAATAAAATTCCTCATATTTGTTATCATTGTGAGTAGCTGAGGACATTTTTTATGTATTTTCCGTGCGTTTTTTTTGCACAGGGCATTTTGATATTGACTATTAGTCAGAGAAATATAGGATATGACCTTAAAAAAATTGCAAGAAAACGTTTTAGGCCTATGGTTTTATTTTGTACTATTGGGTTTGCAGAATGACATACTAAAAGTTGCCAAAAATCGGTACACGAGAAAACAACTAAAATCACAATTTAAAATACAACAACAACAAAAGATTGAAGTTTTACTAAAATTCAACAGATTCATTAGTGATATCGAACAGTAGAGTATATTTGTGTGTACTATTATTAACATTTGTTTATACAAAATGTATAATATTGTAACCAAATCAATATTATAATGATTGTCCGCTTTGAAATGGAAAAAGTTTAAAATCAAGTCATATCTCTATGGTAAATGCCCTATTATTATTGTTGCTAATGAACAAGAAGAAATCTGGTTTTATTCACTTAATTGAATTCGTTCCCATATAAATATTTAAACGAATTATTTGCAATCCGGTTAGTCCGCGTCATATTTTATAGTTGTTTACTGATTCGGGGCAAATCGACGTGATTGATGTCATGTTTATTTCTGTTTAAGTATTTAAAATTAAACAGATTTTGTTGCGCGTTGTTTGAGGTGACGTTTCATTTGACATAATTTTAAACACGAGTAACATGCTGTCAACAAGTGTTTACAATATTACGTTTAAACTTCTTTAAATATCAAGTTTCGATTTCTCTGCTCACCTAGATTGTCTCCGAGGCTATCTTTATTTTATTTTTACGTTTGACAAAACCGAATAGCACTGCTTTCACGGTGATAAGCAACATTTATTTTAAAACCTGACTTAATAAAGAACTGTGCTTGATTTGTCTTGGGTCAAGCGTTAACAAATCATGGAAAATCAGTTGCTTATAAAAATCTATAATTTTATTGCAATTGAACTAAAAAATATAAAAATGTGCATTTAAATAAAAAAAGTAAACCGTGAATTTATTGCAGTATTGCCTTAGGAATTCCAATACAATCTTGTAAAAGATGTCTACTCATTTACAAGAAATAAAATACACACTCTTTAACACAGCATGGAGCCTAATATATGTCATTTTTCACCATTTTATGATTTATCCGTTTATGATTTGATTTGGTTTCATTTCAAGGTGCACGTGATTTTCGCATTTTGGTTTGTTTGTGGCTGATATGTGATGTGTAGCTTCCTTGCTTTAGATTCCTCCCCTTCCCTACTGAAAATGAAAGCGCCGACGTGGACCCAGCCGCAACTGAAGGAGGCTATACAGGCGATAGTGACGCAGAAGATGAGGTTCACGGAGGCGTCCACTCACTACGGTATCCCTAAGGGTACCCTGTACGACAACATACTGGGCAAGACTAACCGTATGATGGTGCTGGAGGAGGCGGGGCTGACGTACTACGAGGAGACGGCTGTGCTGGACTTCTGCTGCGACTTGTCCGTCTCGCCGTACAACCGCAGGACCAAGAAACCACTCAAGGAGATCCTCGGCTTTGTAGAGAAGCTCCGGCGTGATCGCGACCCCGACTTTGCGTTCACCGGGCTCGCGGGGTTCCGCTGGTGGTGGGCGTTCTGTAAGAAACACTCTGTCGTGTCTATGAACTACGGCAGCAACAATAACAACAACAACGAGAAGTCTATCTCGCCACCGCCCGTGCTGGAGCAGAAACAACCGTTGCTGACCTAGGTTCATGCATTACCGAGCTTAGTTATTTGCTGTACATTCCGTTACATTTTTGCACCTGAAACTAGAAACGTCAATACAACTTTACATTCCCCAATACAATTTCGGTGTTTTATGCATTTCTAACAAGGTTATTTTTCAGGTAGATTTTAGTAACAATTTTTTTTCGCATGTCCGAATTCTTTTTACAAACATACCATGCATGTTTTATTTATCGCCATGTAGATCTCGTGTTTCAGTTTTCACTCTCTGTATGTACATAGTCTCCTTTCGTACAGTTTTTTACCACCACCACGCCCCGCGCCCGAAACCCGAGCAATACATTCGATATTTAACCATTCCTATGTTAGCGTAGTAGTGTATGTTACGTAGATGTAAGTTGTCTTGTAGTTGATTATGTAATTGGTTGTGTTATTGTAACTTGGTTATGTTAAGTTTTGCAGTTGCGAATGTTGCTGGTTAAGTTTGACGTTATACCACATGACCGTTAGTTCACGCTCGAAACCGTGTTTCGGGTGATATTGTGTAATTTATGACATTCGCACAAAGAAGCAGTCGAAACATATAAACACCTTTTGTGCGTTGTCCTTTCTGTAGGCTTAGCGATGTAAATTCGCAGCCATTGTTTCTATATGCAAATGACGGTCTATTCACGTACGACAGTAACGATTTGCATAAATAATGAATTTGCTCCGATGATAAATCAACATTAGATATTAATAAGTTGGTATTGATTAGTGGATGGCGTAGCGTTGTCGCTGTGTCGTTGCGATGATTCAAGGTGATTGCAAAAGAAGGTTGACCTCAACCATTAGCGAGAAAGTAGTATGTTTATGTCGCTTCATTTACATTTCGTATTGCTCACTTTTTATAGCGCTGTTAAATGTTATTTTATATCGTTGTTTGAAAACAATTGACTGTGTTTTGTAATATTATTGAAGATTTAAAATGCGCATGAGTTCGTAATTGACAAATCCTTGAAATTTATTCGTAAGTGGATTTTTGAAGGTTGTACAATATTTATATTTTTGATGGCAATATATTGGTTTAGGTAATTATGGTTAATTGCTCTCTAAATTGACAAAGAATGGAAATGTTTGCTCAAATCAAAGTTGAACTTTTGATGCCATATAATTAATTGCGGAATTACAAATATTTAAGTAAGTTTATTGACTCTGAAATATTTTTAAATTCATAATATATCTTGTTTAAGCATGTTACAATGTTTTACGATATTTATACCTACAATATTTTTATGTTTGCCATTTATTGTGTTGTTTCCTCCTGACATTTTGCTGTTTGCCTATGTTTGTCTTGTATTTATTAAGCATTTGTTATTTATACCATTAGTTGATGATATTAATATTCCATTAATACGTGCCATTCCTATTATCGTGTAGACTGCTTGTATTTAGGCTTATTTTAGTTTTAGGGTAGCTTTTTAGTCAACATTTAGATATTAATGATATTTACAAGTGCCTAATTTTATGATCCTGCCATGTAATAATCTCACATCACTCAAACAAACAAAATAACATCTTACGAACGACAATAACTCAGCCGTAGGTATATTATTGAGTCCTAAACCAATTAATTTTTATCATGCATGTTATAATAATGGCATTAAAGAATTTAATGGTGGTCACACAGTTAAATCTAATTGATTGCCAATAATGTTAGTTTACAATTTTGACGGATCAACATTATGTCCAAACTTTTTAACTTGCATTACATCTACCCTTCATAGTTTTTTTTTCGTTTTTTCAGAAATGTATTCACACTATTTTTATCTCTTGATTAATTTATTCTGATTGGTTTAATTTTCTACATCGGTTTTGTGTTTGGTTTTACTCAATGCAATTTATTCTATATCCCCCCTATGGTTTTTGTTTTATTGGATAGGTTAAAAAATAAATATAATTTTTTATTTCAGTCACCAATATTTATTAGTCAATTTAAAAGAGTTAAGTGCAATTTAAAGAGTTAAATGTAATTGTGAATCCCTGTCAATTGGTTCAGAATAATTTATTATTGTTTTAGAGAAGATCAGTACTGTTTGCTGTTCAGTATAAGTGGTATGAATGATACAGATACATTCATATTGAGATACAGATTGAGATGGTTTTCATTGTACAGATAAATTGCCCACGCCGCAGCAAACCTTCAGACTAAGCGAACTTTAATTTGTCCGATGGATATTTAAGTAAAATATTTTCATAACTGACCAAAATTTATTGAGTTATCGTGTTCAGATACATTAATACAAATTTTTTACGAATAGTGGTTATTGCCTCTGATGGCAATAAAATGGAAAAGTTAATCGGTTCAGGGTCTAGGTCTTTCCGTCCCGCCCACGGTAACAGCTTCTTCCCTATAGGGAAATTCGCTAAAAACCGACATTAATACAATAATGTAATTTTATTGTAACATAAAACTATGAATGACTTTGAATTAAATACTCAAATTGAAAATTAATATAAATTTAAATAAATCATTCTTACTTAAATAACATTTTGGGAGTACTAGTTAAGATTTAAGCAATAGAAAATTATATTTTCATAATATTCTTCAACCAATTAAATCTGAACTTTTCTTGGCACTGTATTGTAATATATATCCAACAAATGACAAACTAGATAACATCCTATGTTATTTGAATTGTAACAAAGAATAGTGACTAAGTTAAGTTTTGCGGTTATGTTTGTACCATGTCAAAATTAGTTGTAACACGATTGTAACAAGTTTTCAAATAAAAGAGTAAACCTCATTGAAGTACTGTAGTTATTTTCTCTCATCGAGTTCCCAGTACAGAGTGAGTATAGTACATGGTCGGTGCCAAGCACTTACAATGTATTTTATTGTTAATATTTACTGTCTAGAAAAGCAATTCTCCTCGCAATTACAGTCACTAATAAGTTTTATGGAACGATTGTAAATTAAGCACGTCAGAAGACGTGTTGGTTTCTGACTAGCTCAAGGTTATGCTTATTACATTCTTTAATTGGTTGAATTACAGACATTATCAGACCGTACCGAAAACAACCACTTTCGCCATCTTGTATATATAGGATATTGGCCTTGTAATGAGCATTTTCCCTCCGATTTTTCAGATTGAAGTAGAGAACCAGCTTGATAGAGATTATTTTGTCAGTAGGTAAATGTGTGGAAACTTTTGATTTCTGTTTAGTGATATTGTTATTTAATCTGAAGTTGTTTTAATTTTTTATTGGGGGATTAACACTACGAGCAAAAGTTTCTTAAAATTATAGCATCGAAATACAGTATGGCCAAAAGGTACAGTGAATAGTAATATAAAACATGTATTTGAAAATATTAAGCTGGATAGTAAGCAAAATATCACAAAAACAATTAGTTTATAAATTCTTGACCATTCAAAATTTATGTGCAGTTTATCACATCCATCCCTATATTTTTACTGTTCAAAAATTAAGTTACTAATTAATCATGGTGAAGGTATTTCTGGTGGTTCAAAGAGATCTAATATTTTAATTTAAAAATAAGAGATCACACAGTAGGTTAAACAGAACTCTTGTAGATATAATGTATAAAAGGCTGGAATCAATTTTATCTTGAGAAACGAAAATAAACCATTCAGTTTAAACACCATCCGATTTTGTACATCGTTTACTTATTCAACAGTATAAAACTCACGCGTACAAATCACAGGGGTAAATATCCAATTTGGTTGATAAATTCATTGTTCAGTTTGAAAGTTGGCAACAAGGAAGTTTTATGCGTGTGGATTGCTGCTATTCTCGGCATTGACTATTTCATGCAATGCAAGACCGACTACATGGGCTCTAAAATTGAATTATGCATGCTGGAATGGAATACGTTAGCTGTGCAGTCCATATGGTTATCTCAGTTGGCAGAACAGAATGCTACTTGGATCGATTGGGAAAATCTTACTTAAAAGATTATTCGCCTTATCGTGTGTGAATCCAGGGTGACCTTTTTAATTAATTTTGTAGCACCCAGAATTTCGAAATTATAAATAATCATGGTTACATACAATTAGTTCAAACCACTAAAAACACTACTAAAACTTTCAAAAACAAGAATTTCTTTTGTATGTAATCTTGATTATTTAGACTATTTCTATCAGTGTGTTGTAAGAAAGTTTCAAGTTTCTCTTTCAATATTTTGATTGCAAGTAATATTATTTTCCGAGTACTGGCATGTGATTTTAATTTCTTAACGTTTTAGGAAATTGAAGAAATTAAAAAAATTACATGGACTTTGAGTTTTTTTTTTACTGAAAGTTTTCCTGAAACGTCAACCAACGGTAAATCAAGCGTCACAATAGCCTCCAGTGGAGTAGAAATGATATTATCGACCCGTCTTTCTATACAGACCTCATGATGCATGGGCTCATCCATTGACATTTATAATGCAGTTCTTAACATGCTGCGTACACAGGGTAGAGGCCACCCATAATTATTTCGTGATCAATCAACTAAAACAATCAAACGTACGTGCATGGAGCAGGTTTGCCATGTGTATCATGCAGTTTGGTTTATTAAGATCCCGCTTATTGTCATCTGTCATTGGTTATTGTTGTATGCAGCTACAAAAGCGTAATTACTGGCGAGCGTTGCTAGATTATATGTACAATTGGTACGACCACGTCATCAACATTTATTTGTCACGAAATTAGACAGTGGATTTATTTACCCGATTCGATAGTGGAAACAAATCAACTGATGAAAGACTGTTCAGTGTTGGCAGATAAGTGGGTATTACCGGCGAACCGTGGATTGACCGATACCGATAATAAAATAAATGATACTTGCCTACAGGTGTTTGTTAATCAATCGGAACCTAGTGGAAAATTGAAACTACTAATGCCGTAATCGCGATGTAATGCTTTAATCTATGTATCATTCGGCTTTATATTAATTGTGGGATAATTTTCCCTCAAATTTTCTAAACGGTCGCAGCGGGATCAGATTGTGTATTGGAGATTTCATGCGCTGGGTTTATGTTGTAGTTGTAGATAGAATATAATGGTATCAATAAATCAGTTATGTATCTAATTAATTTTATCCACGTTTGCATTTAATTTTGTTGGGTTTGTATGTTAAGAATGGAGTAAATACACATCTTTACAACTTATATTTGTTAAACTAGTAAAATTTTTTTTTTTTTTTTAGAAAATCAACTTGGTTATTATGTAATGTTATTGAATAAAGAGTTCATTTATTAGTTTTTGAAGTAGATTTATTTATTTATGCAAAAAATGGAAAATCTGAAATACAAATTAGAAGAAAGCCATACTTTTGTTTAATTGTTTGTTATCTCTTTCAACTGTATATGTATAGTTAAAATCGTATAAATAATGCTGATGGTGATACAAAGAAAAAAACATTAAAAATCTAACCAAGTTTTTATTTTTTAATAATATATATTTTACATGTTAGAAAAAAGTATTTATACTATTTTTCTTTCATAAATTCCCCTTGTAACCAAAAGCTACATTCAACTCCAACTCAAAAATTCAGGTTGTAATAGGGTTCAAACATACACAGAGTAAATTGATTTGTTGTTTTTGTCCACTCAAGCCATCTATTGTTATTGAATGTAGTTTAATATTGGTTCGCTACAATTTGATTAGAAGTCAATTCATTTGCTCTATACAATCTACCATGTATGAGCTAAGTGTTGTTCTGCCGTAATTGAGGTTCTGAAACAAAAAATTGCAAATTCAATTTCATTCCATTTTATTTGATATTGTTAGTAACAAAATGTTTCCTATGTGTATGATTCAAGCAAATTTAGGTATACATTTTTGGTGTCTGTAAATCCAAAAGAGTGAATACTGTATCTTTATCTAATTTAATTGAAGTGTGTGTTATATACTGAGCCATACTTAAGAATTTGATTCTAAAATGTTTGCAATCAGCCAATTATAACCAATCACATTAGCCTATAATTAATGATTTTCCAGTTTGTAAACAATCAGGAAAGAACAACATTTGGTTATTAATTAATTGTTCCTATATTTTAAAATACAAGTTTGATGTTATAAGATACGTCATGTCTCTTGCTTTGATTTTTGCTGAGTAAACTACAATTAATTACTTTATATTAGTAACTGGTGTTGTTTTATCAAGTAAGTGTTAGCATTCATAACCCTTATTAACACATGTTTTATTACTGACCTTTGAAAGCAGATTTATGCTAACGTGTTATAATTTATAGGGAAACTCAAATTGAATAATGTGTTTCAACCTACAGTGAAAGAAAAGATAAGTTTTTAAGAAAAAATTGTTATTTTTTTCATTATTTACCATCCTCAAGCATTTTTATGGTTTAAATATATTTTCACCAGTGACAATATTTTTAGAGTGGCTCAAATCGTGTATAACCAGAGAGCACAAAATAGAAATAATAATATTCTGATTATAACCACATAAGTGAGAGGAGAATGTGGGTTGGGAAAAATGTGTGCATTTAAGCAGGCGACTACTTCACACTGACAACTAACTTTTACTTTATTGCATGTCAAAACCATCAATAATGCTCAAATCCAAAGACATCATACCTTTTATCATTATAACAGCTGTTTGTTTCCTGTGCAGTTTTCTGTGCCGTATACTAATGCATGTTGTCTCTGGTTTTTCCAGCAGACAGCTACCAGTACCAGCTGCAGAGTATGTGGCAGAAGTGTTGGAACACCAACCAGTCGCTGGTGCACAATCTACGGTTCCGAGAGCGCGGCCCGCTCAAGTCCTGGAGACCGGAGACCATGGCCGAGGCTATACTGTCCGTGCTCAAGGAGGGACTTAGCCTCTCACAGGCCGCCAGGAAGTACGACATACCCTACCCGACGTTCGTCTTGTACGCCAACAGAGTGCACAACATGCTGGGGCCGTCGGCCGACGGAGGAACTGGTGAGTCGACTTTTCTAGAACTAACAATCCAGAGAAAAAAGTAGAAGTAGCAAAAGTGTTACACAAATAATTTATAAACAATAACAAACACAAAATTTCGCTTAGGAAACCCTAAATATGTATCTTGAAATGTGAAAACTGTAGTGGTCAAAAAGTTTAGTTGTGCTTAATGAACCAAATTGTGTCGATAGCTAAGTGTTTAGAGTTCCATTCAAATTTAAAGGGGGCTCGTTCAATTTCGAGCAGGACTGATTTTGGACTAAGATACAATTTATTACTGAGTATATAATTACGTTTTATAGGTCGAAGATAGGTAGTGTAACAAGAACTGGTGTTGTCACTTTCTAAAAAATCACAAATAAATTCATTATAATATTAGTATAGCCAACAACCTTCAATATTTCAAACTAAAATTGTTTTTTAACATTTAATAATTTTTAACTATAACAAGAACTTTTAAAACATCCCATGCATTTGTAAAATCTCGGTGAATATTTTATAATTTTGGAGGATGAATGTACACATATAAATAAAATATTCTACTCAGTTCCCGGGTAAAGTATAATGACAAAATGGAATAAATTAAAATAAATGGGACATTCGCTAATTGCAGCAGGCGGGCAGGGCGGGTGCTGGCAAAATGACTCCATTATGTTCCCCAACTGGCCAGCGGAACTCGCTTTATTTTTATAATATTTAACAATTTGTTCTTAAAATGCAGTAAATAACATATAATTTTTATTTTTCTGTAAGTCTTAAAATCTGTAGTTGTTTATTAATTGATAAATTTATATTAAAAAGTGTGACTAACTTGTTTACCTTTATTTGAAATGTGGTTAAGTAGACAATATTTTTAATTTCATACAAGTCCAATTATTCTGGAGTAAAACCCTAAGATTACCTAATCGTTTAATAGTTTGGTTGTGTTTACAAAACACAATTTAACCCTAACATTGGGTAACAAGATTTAAAATTGGTCCCCTGTAGTTGTTTATCAATGATTAATAATAGATTAGTAATACCTAAACAGATTATTATATGTTAAATTTAAGTTGAATAAATTACAAAATATTTTCTCTTCAGTAATTTATAAATTATTTAAGAGCGCTTAATAATTAAGCGTTCAAAGCGTTCATTCCATCTTTATAATTAAATAATAAAGTTATGCTCATACTTAAGGAGATAAAACATTAACTTTGTGAGAGCTCCGGCTCTTAAGTCAGAGAAATGTTCTAAAGTTGCGATAAACTATGTTGAGGATGTTGACCTTACGTTTTCTTGGCTTTGTCTCTCTTTCTAAATTCAATTTTCACTTTGTTATCGATTTTCCTGTTGAAATAAATTTCCTTTCAAGTCTTAATTTGATTTTTCTTTCTTCGTTGTTTCGTTTCAGTAAAGGACTTTTTACATCCGGTTTAAGTTTTGGACAAGAATTGCAGGATGATAGTCTGTTGAAAAACTTCATCGCATTATGAAAAAAAGTTGTAAGGAAATATTTATGACTTAGGCCTAGAAACTATTCATTTTATATTTTTTGAAAAAAATAAGTTTTGAAGACCATAATAATTGAGAATAACACTTGGACTGCTGTACTAATGAGTACAGGAGCGCCAATCACCCACAAAGAGTTGGCCCAGCTGATCGTAGTTCTTGGCGCTGTTTCCACCAAAGGCCGACACAACACCTGTTTGCGGACAACAATTAATTAGTAACATGATGTTTCATGCTTGTACAATGGCTTGCTTTGATTAATGTTCCATCGGCTTCAGGATAGGTTTCTGTAATGATTTCCTCTCAATTGTACAAACCCAGACTTATTGCTTTGTGTTCTGCGTCCGTGTCATGTGTGCACGATGTATCATTTTGATAATTGTGCACACATGACACTTGTGATGAAACGACAACTTAGGGAAGAAGAAAGGTCTGATAGAGCTTACGTTTGTTGTGCTGAATATATTTTCACTAGTGGCGTTTTAAATTTAGTTATGAAGTACAAAATGTCAAAATATCATAAATCTATCTTGCCTCCCAAACATCAAAGTAGGCCCACTCCTCTTTTGCCGAGATACCATCGAGATTTTATCTTGATAATAGTTGTGTTCATTAGTGTTTTGTTAATTTTTCATTGTATGTACATCCATTGATTGGTTTTTATAGTACATAAATATTATATTTATTTTTAATGTGGCAAACTAATTCATTATCAAAAATACTCACTATGAGTAACAAAATTGTTTATACTTACTGTTACACATTACTATAAAAACCATGAACATTTTAGGAAAATTGATCAGGGAAATAAAATAAACCTAATAAACTATAAGATTTTTAATTTTCATTTTGCCTTTGTTTACAGCTGTTTATTGTTCATTTTTTAAGCAAATTTTTAAAACACAATCAGATTAAAAAAGGTTTAGGCTTGATAATAGGTTGAGTTTTTTGTATTGTTGAACTTTCAAACCCATGTTGCCTACTCTGCTCTAAGCAACGATGTTGGCTCTAAGAGATGTTTTTTTTGTTGCACCAATTTTACTTTTTTACATTAAAAAAGATTGTTATTAGAATTTTCATAATTGTTCAAAAAGCTTGAACAATAACATTGTGCCTAAATGAGAATCTATTTAAATTTTCAATTTTTATGTTATAGTTAACAGAAGTCATACTTGCTAAATGACCGATTAAATAGTGTAGACTCCAAGTTTTATCCTATCCCAGGTGGCACAGAACTGTATTAGGGGACAACCAATTGTTTGTAGCTTCACTATTGATCTACTAAATAACTTAATTTCTCTCTAATACAATTTAATTAAAAATTTAATTTAATAAACTGTTCATGTGTACACTGTTCATTAAACTAAAGTATTTACAGTTTAAATAAGAAGCTATTTACCCACTGAACTTTGAAATGAAGCCAGTTGTACAACAATAGTCAGTAATTTATTGTGTTTAAAATATGTCTCTATAATGAATGTTGGTCGCACCTGTCAAATGGTCTATTGTTACTTCTAACTGAAAGCATACATGGTGAAACTCGGTTTAGTATATTTTAGAAACCAACCAGTCTTGGTAATTCAGGTTTGCTATGTGACAAGAGATAAAATGGTAAAAAATCTCAATTTTACACTAAAAAACTCAGAGTATGTTTTTTTTATATATATATTTTGTAATAGTTAAATTTGTATCTGCTCATAAGGGTATTTTTTTTACAAAACCCCTAACCAATACCATAGTAAATAGTTAACCACTAACTTAAAATTTAATTGTGTGTAAAATAATAATTTATAAAAAATTCTGGACGTAAGAAGAATGATAGTAAGAATATCATTAAAACAACTCCAACCCTTTAACTAAATTAATTAGAGATATAATTTACTTTTAAAATAATACTAAGTGTTAAATACCTTCACCATGTTTAATGATTAATTAAATAAAATGTAAGTTCATTTCCATTTGTTCACTGATAAAGAAGCACATGGTTTGTAACTCTTAAAAATACTTTCAATAATGGTAATTTACCTCCCTAGTTTGATCCCTGGTTTTTATGAACTACACTGGTCATTAAAATGTATTACATATTCTATCCAGAAAATCACTTGTAATGTGGAATATTTCAATTCATTCTGTGCAGATTGGTGTGGCAAAGGCAACAATCAGTCATGAAATACTAGATAAAATTATTTTTAAAATATTTATGTTAAAAATAATTGTTCAATTTTTTAATAAAACAACTCCTTTCATGACTTTGTTGGATACAATATGCAATTTCCTTGTAAGAGTTTAAATAATAAATTACCTTCATTATTTTAATTTGTTATTCTCATGCAAAGTTAGTTGCATGTTGTAAGTTAGGTTCTGTAATACTTTATTATTATTACTGTTCTATCTACATTTAATCACAATTAAACATTGTAAATTACTAATTTTGTACATTTAATACTCTTTTAACCTAATTAAATTCAAACATTGAAATACATTATGACACTACCAATTTATAATTTTTACACCTAAACACTTTTTCTGTTTAACCTACACCTGAAAACTAAAATTCTAACTTTTAAATTATAAAAGTTGAACACTTAAGTGAGTGAAGTTGACAATAAACTTTCTTTGATGCAAAATAAGTGAGGAAATGCTACAACAAATTAATTATTTTCCGACGAAACTGATCTTGAATAAAGTTTAAAATTTCTACTCGAAGGGAAGTTTCACGTATGAGCTATAATTTGACTTTGAGTGGCAAAAGTTCTTAATTGACCGAATGGAGGATGTTATATGTTGTAGGAATGTAGAATGTAGGATAGCAGCGGCAATATTATATTGTACATGTGTGTTTGTGTTTGTTCAGCTTTGTTTGTTCATCATGTAAATTAGAATGTATTGTACTTTGGCCCATTGTGACGTCTTGCTGGTGCCAATCAATTAGTCCGTCCAATCAAACACTGCAGCTCTGAGTCGGATGTTTCATTATCGATACATTATGTTGTCTAGTACCCCCCCCCCCCCCTCCCCTTGCTGCACACTGCACTTCACTTCTCTTTACATTGTACTACATGCACCCCGCATCCCGCACCCCTCAACCCTCCGACCAAAACTGCATGTGGCCGAAATGGGAGGGAACTTTGTCCAACTTCATTAGCTTATACTTGCAAAATGTTGAAATACTCACAGTGTATTCTTGCAAGATGAATTTTAGGAAACAGATCCGTACAGATTCTTTACGGTTTATTATAGCAATGAATTATAACACTTTTTTTAGTTCATTACGGTCAACCATTTGCCTACTACATTATAGGACTTAAAACTAAAAAAAAACTGCTAAATGTAATTTTAAAGTTTTTTTATTAAATTAAATTACTTAAAAACTTAAACTTAAAACATTAAAATTATAGTTTTGACATTCCTTTCCACCTTCCCACTAAAAATCATCTTTCCTTTAAAATAATCAATAAAATCCGTCTAGTGGTTGATTTAGAATCTTTAAACAAAACACCCCATTTTTTAAATTGAAGTTCATCTTTTTATAAATACCTATCCTAAGTTATTATCGAAGGACGGAAAAGTTTGCATTGATTTGTTTTGAATAGCTGAAAATTCCTGCAAAGATTGATTATCTAGTATTTTTTGCTAGTTAGAAATATTTTGTAACATTATAACTTTGAGATTTCATTGTGGACATTCATATTCAAAAACACTCCACAAGTTCCACTAATAATATTTCAATCAAACCCAACAATTGTGTACCAACCGCTTTTGTAACAAACTGGAATCTATCAGTCCGAGTTACATACTTCTCGGAACAATCGTAGTACTTTCCTTCGTACAAGTAGTGCATAAACAATTAGCCCCAGCAATAAAAACAAATGGCCCAGAGCCGTTTAATGTATAACATTAGAATATATCAAATGGCCCCAGACAGTAGAATCTCTGTCTAACGGGGTGACATCCAACTATTACTATTAGTTCCAGTTCATTATTTCACCGGGCCTTTCACACTGTGATTCTTTCACTCATTGTTGTTTAATTCTGTTGTTGATGTCACTGGTAATTTCGGTAATGGAGGCTTTGTTGACAGCACTCGGTGTTAGAATGTTGCTCGGGAAACTATCAAAGGTGGAGAGGTTGTGTTGTTTATTTAAAAATTGTAGTTTCCACATCTCTACATAGATTGTTTTAGTTTCGACATTTGAACATTGTTGGCTTTGAAACTGTTTGCACTGGTAGTTTCAATAATTACAGTAGGAGCTATTTTATTTAAACATTGTTGTGTTTTCTATTTAGTTGATTGACACCACAACATCGTATTTTACTGATGAAATGATATATTTTGTTCTGAGACGACACACATTCTTCATAATGACATATTTACCTTCTTTACGGTAAAAAACAAGAGAATAATATTTCCGTCTGTCAATAGGTTTTCATCAGAACAATTGTGGTAATTGTTTAAAGTCGTCGTGTTGGTATGAGTAGTCCAGAGCTACATTCCCGTGGGCTGACTCACCCAGAAAGACATTTATGTGGCCGTTCGTCTGTCATTACAAGCCTCTGCCCTTGTAATGGCTTACTTATTGGAAATGATTACAAGCCACAATCCCATGATTTAACATTAGAGGCCACTTTGATTACTGCTTTAGTACTCGGAACATGAAAAAATGCTGTTGTAATCGTCATGTAATTGATGGTTCCTGTTGAAATTCTTGCTGAGATTTAAGTGTTGAAAAGAGGAGGTTAGAATCTGCTTAATTTGTGTCTATTTTGAAGTTATGGCTTATATTGGTGGTTTCTGATTTTGGAATCCAAAATTATCCAAGATTTTATTAGTTTTAACATTATTTGAGTTAATAATGTACTATTTTTTTTAATTTCACAGAAAAAAAGTTACCTTTAACTTTGATAATGTAAATAATCGATAGAACTGTTTTGACTAACTGATTTACAATTGGACTTAGGCACACACTATATAACATAAATTATCTGAAAGTTAAGTGTATAAAAACATAATAGTACTAATTCCCTGCCAAAAATACCCATTGATTAGTGTTTTAGATTTAAGTGTGATCTAGTAACAAATTTATAAACTGGTATCACCTAGGTGTCAGGTGAAGTCTAAAAATGAATAGTTCAGTTCAAAAATCTAATGTAAAGCAAATCTAATTTACTTTTAGAACATTAAACATTAGTTTTTCTTATCCTAAAACCTTACTTATCCTAAAATAACTTAAAAAAACACAAAAAAAACTGAAAAATAACATCTTTTAGAGGCACACAACACAGGGATGAAAATCAACTATTTGCCGCAGAGCTAAAACCACTAAAACCAATTTTTAAAATCAGTCAATTTAAGTGTCAGGGCAAAACTTTATTATTAGAATTTATAAATTTAACTATACTTTTTCTATCATTTCAGCCTCTGGATTGCTTATAAAATCAAATAAATAGTGAAGTCTTACCTTAACAATCCTTATTAGGATAATAAGGATTGTTAAGGTAAGACTTCACTATTTATAATTAGTCACTATTTTATATTTATATTTTGTCACTTAGGATTGTTAATAGTGAAGTCTTACCTTAACAATCCTTATTAGGATAATAAGGATTGTTAAGGTAAGACTTCACTATTTATTTGATTATACTTTTTCGTTGGATTACTCTCATTTTGTATACCTGATATTTTGTAATGAAATCAATATTTGTTACAAACCTTTTTGAATTCATTACAACCTCAACTTTTTAAATATAACCAACCCTAGTAGGCTAGACGATAGACAATAGATTTTATTCAAGAGTACAAAAAATGCAATAGAACAAATCAAGGAAGGGACATGGCAAAGATACATAGAGTTGAAACATGTGAAATAAAAAATAAGAACAATGACAAAAATAAAATATTTTAATTCGATTGACAGATCGGAAGAGGCAATCAACCATGTAGTTTGTTTCTGAGTCGTAGGATTTTGGTCCTTTAGAAAATTAGAAACAGTTTTTTTATTAAATGCAAACTTCTGTTATTTCTAATGAGAGTTTATTGTAAAGAGCAAGTTGATGGTAAACATGACAATATCTGCCTTACATATAGAGTAACAAGGTTATGTAATATAATGTATGTATAGTGGTATGTGTCTGTTGTGTGCTGTTACCAATCGTCCGATGACTCACGCAGGCATGTTGTTGGCAGACCTGAGGCCCAAGGGACGAGGTCGACCTCAGCGTATCCTGTTGGGTATCTGGCCAGAGGCGCACATCCAGGGAGTGATCCGGGCCGTGGTGTTCCGGGATCCTCAGCACATCAAGGAGGACCCCATGAACCTGGGCTACCCTCGGCTACAGGTCGTCTCTCCTCTCAACCAGCTCCAACAACAAGCCAGTCTAGAGAACAAGCGGGTGAGTCCTGCCACACAGGTGGAGATAGTTTTAAAACTCAACGAGAAAAAATATACTTTTTCTCCCCACTTGCTCCATAGAAAAATTCAGAAGTAAATAAGTTAAAGAGCTACATGTTTTTTGGATCATTTTGGAGTAGAATCAATACTGAACATGGGTTGGACCTGGATGGTAGCCTACATATTGTAGTAAAGGCCTTCGCCAAGGCATTCAAGGCATTGTTTCAAGGCATTCAAACATTAGATTGATGTCTGGCCAAAACATACTTTACACAACCAGTTTCCTGATGTACCATATTTCTTATGTGGTATGAAATATGTAAATTTTGTATGAAGTAATCTTGTCTCTCGGTACATGTCTACTATGAAACATTTTGTTAAATACTGTATACTCTACGGTTGGTTGTATAAATAAATGTTGCTTGAATTCTATTTACCGGTTTTACATCTAGATATAAAATATGAGAGGTTATCATCTGTAATTTTGATAGCTATCAAAATTACTTATAGTTTTTCCTGTACTGTTCCTGTGCAGACATCAGTAGTATTGTAAGGAACAATAACTGTATAACTAACAAAAAATCTTCAAGTTGTAGCAAATAAATTAAGCAAGCCCACAATTAATTATAACTGTTGTTTTTAATATTTTTTTTATACTCTCAATGATAAGGTAAGAAATACTAGTTAATATTTAACAGTCAATCGTCTATAATATTCAGTTTCTAAATAAAATTAATTGGTTTTGCTAAATCTATTTACTTTCAATTTTTAAAATACATAATGGTAGGCCTAGTATGTTTTTGAATCAACTAGTTTTTAGACAAAGAACATCAGAACTAAACAATAGATAGCTCCTTTTTTAGTTCTTTTGATGTGTAGAACCTTAATTGAACTTACAAATTAAACCCCAACACCCTCCTATCTTCATCCTAACCTCTATAACTCTAAGAGTTGATGCAAAAACCCTATTTACACCTCATGTTGTTACAGCAACAACAACAGCAGGAGCAGCAGTCGATGTACGCCTCCACGCCATGCAGTGAGGTAGGCGTAGTGTCACCCAGTTCCGCCGCGTCCGCTGTTTTGGCCGTTGCTCAGAACCTACGACAGCAGATGTTAGCGGCCGCTCACCACGGGGGAGACCCCAACTTCAGCTTCCTGGCAGCTCACTATGGCAACGGCACTGGCCTTGGTGTCCATTCTCCTCTGCCATCTCCAGTAGACAGCTCTCCCCGCAGTTCCCCCCTCAATGCGGCCAACAACAACCTTGAGGTATGGACAAAGCTTATTTTTATGATTTTTTCATGATAACACACTCTAGTGCATATTTTAAGGCGAAGATGAGTGAGAGATGAGTATTAACAAAATTAGATGATAGCTTTGTTACTGACGAAGATTAGCAGACTCTTTAGCCAGGACCATTCGCTAAAAGTCTGATGATCAAGAACAGCTGCTAACCATCAAAAAGCTATACAGTTTTGTGTTCTATGCTATGTTGATGTACATGATAGAATTCTAACAATATCTTGCCCCAGCATCAACAAAGGCCAATTTAGGGCCATGAAAGTTAGTATGTCTTGATACATATTATAATAATTTGACAAACATCCTTAGTGCTAACAGCTTTCGACTATTCTCTCTCCCATCTTAACACGCCTAAAAATGTGATAGATGATGAGTTACAATCAGATAAGTTAAGGTAATGGGTTGAAATAATAAATAAAGTAGAAACCTTCATATCCGGCACATGGCCGTAACGGTCAAAAACTTAAATATTGGGAGGAGTAAAAAACTCTTTTCATAAGTAAAAAAGTGTATTACCACATTTTTAACGATTTTGCGATTGCTGAATGTCTCGCGGTCATGGAAATACCATCATTGTCTTCCGCGATTCACGATAAAACCCAGAACACTTCTACTTATCACATAAACCACTGCCTCCCGCGGCGGCACATAAACCAATACCTCCCACCGCGGTTTAGTCAACATCACCAATGTCTTTCCCAGTTGTTTATCATCATCGTCATCTCCCACAATCACGGCTAAATCCTAGACAAGTATTGTGGTTAGAAAAAATTTGTTATTATTTTTCTGCGCTTGTGGCAAATCCCCTGAAAATCTCTCGTGTTTGCGGAGATAATAGTGGACATCTTCTGCGATTGCATGAGCATCGGCTCAGCTTGATAATCGAGCGGCTCACCTCTGTAGATACCTATCGCTTATAGTGGGACCTAAGGTCGGATATATTGATGAGTCGGTTATGTCGAGGTCGCAAATGAGGAGTTCTACTGTATTCCCTAAATATCATCTCAATATTAATTATTTGATGAAAAGCCTCATGAAAAAATACACTGCCTCAATGCACCACTTGTACTAAATGTTGTCCAAAGTTTGTTCCTAATCATTCCTTTGGTTCAACAGGTTTCAAATCTGTTCGTATACTTTTCAATCAATAACAAAATTGATAGGAAGTATTTATTACGAACCAACCTAACCAAATGTATCTTCTAATCAACTGTAGTGTTGTATGACAAGGATAATTTGCAAAATTAAACAAAGATGATTTTACTTTGTAGGTTGGACTAGGTATGGGCTACAAACACATGAAGTATGAGAACATTGCCCGTGCTGAACATCTATTCCAAGACGAAATTGAAGATTTAGTCAAGAGGCCCAACCCTTCCGACACCCCTAAAGTGAAAGTGAGTATCAGTTGATTACGGGTTTCCATTTTAAACTAAGGTCTTAAACCACATTTTTGATCAAGACAATATACCAAACTAATATCCATGCACCACACTATAATCTATACATAAAAAACTATCTATAACATATACATATATATTCAAAGACCAAGGTTCAAAAAGTTTTCCATTTTTAAAACATCTCAACTATTGTTAATAACAAAAAAATCCTTTAAAAAAATCTAATAGCTCCTGTATGCGTCCATCCTTATTTGGGAAGGATGGTTAAGGTGGGCCAGAGTCACAATTGTTTAGTTTTCACAATTCTTTGGTTTGTATAAACTTTTGGCACAAAACAATTTGTTTGTAATTTTTAGTAAACAATTTTTTTTAAATTCCAAACAGCAGTAATGGAGATGGATATGCACAGTAGTAAAATTTCCTTAGTTAATGGGATTAGCTTGTTTCATATTGATCAGTATGTGTGAGTGATAGCTCAACTCTTGGGATCTAGTTGCTTGTGACACTGATGTCATGTCCCCCTATCCATCTCACACTCTCTATCACATACACAATCTCTCTCGCTTCTCTACCCCTTACATTACATCTGGTCTAAAATTAACCAACACATTTGGACCCCTAGTTGGTATAACTATGATAAACACATACGGGGAATGATTAGTCTAATTAGCTTTTGAATCCGACTATCTTTACAGTTAAACTTTTTACATATAGAGAATCCACTTTGAGAATCTGTGCATTTATATACCTTCGTAAAAAAAAAGTTATACTAAGAAAAATTGTTTCAAACAATACCAAGATCCTATTTTTGCCTGTACAAGACAAATGTGACAAATGTCAGAGGAAATGTGTTTTCTATCATAAAATATCCCGTTTTGAATCATATAGAAAAATACCATACACTTTTAGACCTAAAGTCGGGACCACGTAAGTTTGCAGTTGGTGGCAGCCAATCACAAGACAAGGCTAGTGCGACGTTGCCACATCGCCCGTTGACAACACTAATTAAAATATAGGCTACTAAGCAGTATTTTCAAATCAGCTGGTATTATTAGATTTGGCAACACCGCACAGTTCTCACTGGTTCATTCAAAACCATATGGTAAATAGGCTTCTCCCTCAACTGCAAACTTACGTGGTCTTGACTGAAATAGAATCTATGCAACCATCTGTAATAGTGAACATTATAACTATTCTCATGTTGCAATAAGCTGATGCTGGTTATAATTTACAGTATATATTTTTCAATTTCAATCTTAAAGTCCTCAGCTCAACTAAGTTGTTAGTAAATTTGAACCTCGGTTGACCTTGAAAGTATATATGTATTCTATAAAATACCTTGTATAAGGTTAAAACTGAAGCTAGTTTTGTGTAAAAACGTGTTTCAATTAATCCAAAGTGAGCTGTCATAGTGAATAGAGTTTACAATATTGTGGTCCATAATGTGAATATGAAATTAATTGATGGTGGTGTGTCAGAGTGGTTTGGAGATGGGATACAAGGCTCCGATAGTCAACGAATCCATGAACAACATTGATATAGCTCGGGTCAACGAAGGCATGAACAATATGAACATGGCACGATCAACAGAGAACATGAACATCGTAAGAGCAGCAGCCGAGTCTATGAACATGAGAGGAAACGAAAGCCTCAACAGCATGAACATGGCACGAACAAACGAAAACCTCAACAACATGAACCTAGCTCGGACAGGAGATATGAACATGGCCAGACCCAGGGAGAGCATGAACATGTCTCGTGCCACAGAAACTATGAACATGCAGCGATCCGAGAACATGAACATGGCTCGAGCCGCCGCAGAAAACATGAATATGGCACGAGCTACGGAAAACATGAACTTGTCACAAAATGAAAACATGAACATGGCCCGAGCAAATGAAAATCTAAATATGGCCAGAGCGGCAGAAAACCTTAGCAGTATGAACATGGGACGAGCGAATGAAAACATGAACAATATGAACATGGGACGTGCGAGCGAGAGCATGAACAGCATGCGTGCTGGACACCTGTTCCAGGACGACATTGATGAGCTGGTCAAGCGACCCCAGCCTTCTGACACGCCCAAAGTCAAAGTAAGCAACTGCATGTAGATGTTGTGCAATCCTGTAGAAGTTGAGCCCTGTAGTGTTGGACTAATAAAGTTGTACCCGCTGATTCTCTCTTGCTAAAACATCATCCGTAGTGAACCAACCTGTCTACTAATCAAGAACCATGAATAGTCTACTTTTTAGCTTCCAAGATAATCCAAACCAATTGTTGTTTGGGATATTGATCATTCTGTTTATGCTTCTAGTAAGAAATTTGCTAAAAAAGACTCTTTGAACATTCAAGAAAGCTGCAGGAAAGTCAAATTTTATATTGTTAACATAAATATAAACAATCTTTCACATTTAATGTTTAGATTGGCATATGTATTATTGCAATTGCATCTTAAATGGCCAAGCGAGCACACCTTATATTTAAGCACTTAAATACATCCACTACTACGTTGAACTTTCTATAGCAACATATAATCTTCAAGCCAACAAAACTTTTTATCATGTCTGGTCGGAAGGGTTGTAATAAGCGGCAACTAGACTATTGAAATTTCTACTAACAAACCTTTTTATTAATTTAAATGCATGTAGTACTCCCCCATTTATTTGAGGACTAATTCAAAACCAGCTTTTTATATTAAATTATGACTAATTGATTATTGTAGTAAAAGGTCAACAGTCCTGTAATTTCACTTTAATTGTGTTTCCAACTCAATTATTGTTGTTAATTAACTTTGTCATATGAAGAATTTCCATCATTTTTAAGGAGCACAATCCAGAGATCTCACCAAATATTTATTTTTAACTACCTGTTTTCTAGACAACCTCCTAATGTTTTAAAATAATTGATACAATAAAACAAATTTTAAATTTTCTGTTCACTACAATTATTATTATTGTCAAACAGCAATGTCAAGTTGATAAGCCTAAGTTAGTTAGCGCAGCCCCAATGTTTCTTTAACTCGCATACTATCAGCAGGATGAAGCAAACTTGGAGAGAGTCCATTGATAAACGGGCTCTCTAATTGGACAAGTGTCTCTAAATATTATAACTAGAGACAATTGGTTGAAATAGTTAACAATAAGTATGAACTAAGCCCGTGGCCTCGCCAATTGAGCAAATATACAAGCATTGTGTTCCAATTGCTGCGTCTCCTCCTTCAATAACTAAATTATAACATTACTTAACTGTCTCTTCATCCATGTTAGCGTTAACATTGTTTAAATAATATCCGACAGAAGTTGTAGTAATTTTTATGGGATCTAATGGTAGCTTGAGTTTATCATGTGTCTTAGATTCGTGCATAATTGTTTGATTAGTATTTTTTATTTCAACATACATGCAACTAATGCATGTTGATTTCTATATCCTACAGTTTTTTACAGATTTAAAAAGACATTGAAAGGTAATAAATAGTTTATATAATTTTTTGAATTCTGTTTAATTTATTTAACTATTTATTCATTTATTCATCATGTGAATATCACAAGATGAGAACATGACACTACTCTGAGAAGGTCAACACCTTATCTTCTTAGTATTCTGATGGTTGTCGCTATTTGTACAGTATGTGCTGGAAACACTTCTGATATTTGTATGGTATAGCAGGCTCACAAGAATAAAAAAGTCTATTCTGGCAAAACGAAATAAAAAACTTACATGATATCCAGAAGTTAGAATATTTCATTGTCACCGCCAGAATTTTCAGCCAAGGTTTTTTGTTTAAATAAACTTAGAAATTTAGAATAAACTCCTTTAAGCCTGACCTGGGTAAGACTGTTATCCCAACAATAACCCTTGAAGCCTATGCCCTTGTGTCCTATGTTGCATTGGCGTAATTAAATAATTAATTGAATTTTTGCTGCATTTTCCAATACAATTTCACAAAGGAGTACATTTTAGTTGTAAACTCTTGTTACACAACTCTTGGTGTGTTACAGGTTGGCATTGGTGTGAGTGGGATGGCGTTCCCCGCCAAGCAGGAATCTTTCCCCACTCCCTTCCAGGGTGACATGGAGGACCTGGTCAAGTCACCCCCCGCCCAGACGCCCCAGGGTCCCAAGGAACAACCCCTGTGTCTGCAGGTCGACCAGCGCGAGTAAACATTCCCCCTGATCTCTGTCTCCCTTTGTTACAATAAGGCTTTATTCCTTATTTATTGTAAGATTTTGATTAATATCCTCAGACGATTTGTCTATTGTAAGATAACAGTTTATATACAGTTTTAACGTATACATATCCATCTCGGGAAAGTGAGATGATATAGTTTTTCCTTTTTTGTCAGTTTTTGTCTTAATATTATCTTGTGAAGTCGAATTGTGTATACTATACTGAAATATAGTTTAATCGAACCTTACCGACAAATTATTTCTGTTGGGCAGTATGTTTGTACGGTTTATTTATTTTACTTTTAATTAAGGAGTTTACAAATTTTATTTATTAAAGCTAGTTTTATACCAAAATATGTTTAGTATCTCTGTTCTGCGTGGAACGCTCCAGAGATTCTTGTTATTGTGTAAATAGTAAACTAGTTAATGTGTGAAAGGTCAAAATGTAAATAATTATTGTCATTTGATTAAGAGTATACTAATTTTTTGTATTAGTATTGACAAAATGCGGATTAAGATATTTTTATTTTATGACTGCATTTGTGATTTCTTTTGCCAAAATACTTCTGTTAAACGTAAACTATAGTATTCTCAACTTATTTAAAGTCGTATTTTTGTTAATAACTTAGTATAGTTATTTTTAATACGAGTCCTATTTTGTATTACGCTGTTCTATTACATTTTTGTTTGTCTTTTCCTTAAGGGCATCTTAGCATGTTAACATAAGTATAGTATTATTTTCAACTGCCTATAGGCTTTTATGTGGAGTTATTAAACAAGCATGCTTATACATCATATTTATTTACTTCCTCGAACGATCCGATTTGTTGCATAGTGTTGTTTTTAATTATGTTTCGAGATTTTATTAGCTCCGAGTGTCCAACAGGGAGTGAATGTGTACATATATAAATACGAGTGAGAATGTACATACGTGTTAGACTTAGGAAATAAAAAATGCTTCCTTGGACAGAATCTCACTGATAGAGAACATGAAAACGTGTCTCCAATACAGTCAATACTTGCACGATCATTGTATTCCGTTTCACTCGTTGTTCTATGATATGATTTTTCTGTATCAACATGCCGTATAACAGTACAGTATTCCCCAACAACATTCCATAGTAGTACAGCACATGTCTAGATTCAAGCCACGCGTCCCCCCCGATGACATTACGTAGGCATCAGCTGTTGCCGGGGTCAGTCGCGTGGCGTAGCTACAGTCCGTGTCAGTGGTGTTTGTTCCGCCCTGTAGTTTGCCCTGTAAATGCCAGTTAGTCTAGTCACTATAGCGTTTCATTCGTTCAGTTCAAAAGTAAAACGTTTCGAGGAATCGAGGGTGTATATGCCATCGTTGGACAAAAAGTTTCCTATTCGTTAGAAAAATAAAATTTAAAGCAGTGGCCTTGAATTGAAATACTCGGTTTTGTAGCTCTTAACGGATTTATTTACATCAAAATTTTGACCATTCTTGTAAATTACCCCTAGCCCGATGGATATGAGAAAAGCAATGTCAGCATTCATCAACTAGTGCCTATTAACGGGTATGTTTTATTGTAAATTGAATTTCGACTTTTTCATGTCCATAATTCCTAGGTCTCGGCTGATTGTGTTCAAGCAAACTAGAAAAAGTGCCTTCCATTTTCTGACCACTTTCTGCCACTGTTGCTTTTGTTCGATTTATCTAATCTCGTTTCGACAGCAAGGAAAACTTTTGTTTTGACATAACACACTCTACATCTGCAGGCAACTACTGTGTTTCAGTTCTTGTTAGACAGTGAAGTAAATATTTATTGAAAATTATTGGACATATTAGACTGTACCTATTGTATAACTGTGTTAGCTGCGTATATATGATGCAATAAATTGTGTACTATGTATAAAAAGTCTACTTTTTCCCCCAATGTTGATCATACAATGTATCATAGACAATTCGGCTAGTAATAGACATAGCTGTAGTAGTATGCATAAGCAGAATTAGGACACAATTTGAAGACTTGCAGATTACTTGTTGTTTCACATATTATAGTTCTTAACACTTGTCTATACATCTGGGGGTGGATAGCCAAATAATTTTTTTCTTTATGGTCCTCTTCAAAAAATCAACAAAAAAAGTTTTGCAACTGCCTTAATTTATCTGAAATAATACTTCTATCTTCTATCACAACTTGAACATATGTGGAGATATAAATCTGCACTGTAAAGTATAACTTCACTTCAGACATAAAAAAATAAAAATCCTGTTTGTTACAAAACAAAAAATAACAGGTTACTAACAAAGGGCAGAAATCACCGCTGGGGCAAAACCAGTGTATGTTGAATATGTTTTAAACTGTGGGAAAGAAGACCAAATATAGAAATTATTTATGTCAATGTTGAGACGCTAAACTTTTTCCTATCATTGACTATTGGATTCTATTGGGTTTGGTGTCTAGCCCACATCCATCTTTATGGACCACAGCTGTAGCCAAATTTTTATTCAAACAAAACATTTTGACATACTGCAGCAAAAACAGCCGTTTTTAATACATGTGTTGTCTTTTACTCCTTAAGGAGGAAAAGGCCTTTTTAGTTCTTAGGGAGTAAGGGAGTATGTTTTATCTATGGTAAAAGTCAGCTGTAAACTCAGTTGTAATTGTAAACTTTGATTGCAGCATTGTAGCTTTGTTGTAATCTTGTCAATAGTTTGATTTATCGATTAGTATTATAATATACACTAACACAATCTAATAGACGAGATTGAATCACTTACTAAACAGCTGCTTGTTTGCATTTGCAAAATTGAAAACTAGTTAGAAGTCGTTTTGTGGTGTTATTGTTGGATGAAATAAATGATCCTGACTAATGAAACCGCCGATCTTACTTAGTCAGTAACAATGCTACACAGGTCATCACACACCATTCTCTACACTCATCCTTCACTCATATTTGGGTTAAAATACGCACCTAGGTGGCGTCCTCATCTCAATGATTGATAATTGATGAGTATTCTTGTTTCTTATTTAGTTTGTTAAATAATGAAAATGAAAATCTTTCTTTTTCCTTAAGCATGTACATGCAATAGACACTGACAACACACTATAAATAAATATATAAACTAGACTCCCTCTTATCCGGACATCGGTTTAATCGGACTAAACTCGTCTGAAATTACCGTTATCGTTATCTCTTTAACCGGACAATTTTTATCAGCACATCAGTTTAACCGGACTAGATCGGCAGAAAGTGGGCGGTACTGAAACAACTGTTCTCGTAGGAAAGATTTGAGACTGGTAATTATGTGTCTAAATACAATGCTCTACTAAATTTAAGTCAAATACTGTATACAGTATGCATTTAAACAGTCTGTTTTAGCGAGTTTTTGGGTACGTCGGTTTAACCGGAAAACCCGTTATCCGGACTGGCCTCGGTCCCGAGGAGTCTGGATTAGAGGGAGTCTACTGTATACATGTTTTCAGAAATCAAAAAGTACAACACAACATAATTTTGTAATATATGACAAAAAATATAAAAAATATCTAGTTCATCACACGGACAAAACTGTATTTTCAACCCCTGGCTCATTTTCCTGAAACTTAAACTTGGGTCGAAAAGAGTTTCTTTATGCCCTAGTGATGAAATATACCATGAATGAGCATCTTATAGAATTGTTACTATCAAAATTCTATTTTCCCTCTTTAATTGTCATACTTTGGCATTTTACTGTTTTTGTTGGTAAAGTTGATTGTGTTGATTGTTGATTGTTGATTGTTGGTAATAGAGTTGATGATTTTTTTTATTATGAAGAAACAGAATTTAGGAATTGGTAAAAAATTAGTAAAATAGCACACTCGGGGACACTGACTATGTGTGTTCTTTATTGTACAGCTGGCCACAGGTTTAACATTGGAATCGTTAATAATGTATACTGTCTTATTAGTGCATCTATAGTTTAAAGACCCTACTGTTTTGAAAAATCTTAAATTTATTCCAAAATAATACTTTTAATAGCCTACTAATTTATATCTATTTTGCACTATAAGGGTGTTGCTTAAAAACACTATTCAAAGAAAGGACATAAAAATGTATTACCGGTACTATCTGGTTACATAAACAAACTCATAAAAAATAAGAAGCGTAAAAGTCTGGTAACGCACATACGTACTGTGTTATCACAAGGTGATGTAGTTCCAAGTTACCCCCACAGACAGCAGCACAACACAATGACAGGTAAAGCATTTAAAGCTCAAAAGTTATTTTACCTAACCCGCCATGTTAAACTTCCCTATCCCAAGCGTGATGTATACAACTTCTTCTAAAGTTTCAAAAATTTACTCGGTGAAGTAATGAAACCCATTTAAAAACATTGAGTGCTCAACTTAAAAAAATATACCTCTATGGAGCCAATGACGTTCAACGCTAGAAATCAGCTGTGCGCTTGAATTTTATTGTTATGCTTTAAAGTATTTTCCTAACCTAGCTTTTGTTTGTAAAAGAACGTTACTATTAGAAGATGAGTGAAATGGATAAAGAAAAATATTGTACGTAACCCCCTGTATATTGTCGGGTCAGGTAAAATCTTGCATGTCACACGTTTCGCAAGAGCGTGTTTACATTCACCTGCGTGATGTAAAAACGCTCTTACTACACTTGTAAGGTAAATAGCTATTATTGTTTGATTTTCAAGAAACTGAGTTCTAAATAATAACAATGTTTACATGTTTTTACTCTATAATATTATAATATTATAATATTAAAACTAATATTATTATAATAATATTATTATAATATAATTTATTAAAACTAGCTGTTACCCACGGGCTTCACACCGTTTTACTTCATAAGTATTAATAAAACTATTGATTAGTTAATTTAAGCTGAAATAAACAAAACAGAATACATTAATACAAACAAATAATCACACATGATTTTAATAAGGTAATAAATTGAAAGAATAACAAACAACCTACCACTGATGTATTTTTAACATTAGGTATATGGAAAGTTCCCTTTATAAAGAAATTACGATAAATAGTGGATAGTTTTGCGCAAGGTTTCTCGTCATGACGAACATTTTAAGTATATGTTTTATGGGGGTGTGACTTGTACTTTTTTCAAAAGTTCATGGGTACTTTGGGATTTAAATATGGATACTTACATCCTTTTTGTTCCATCAAGCAAGCTGCTGAACACAAAGGATAATAATCAACAATTGAAGCTAAAACCAAAGAAAGGTTTAACTAATTAAAACTACTCAATAATGTTCATCAACACCTACTCCCTGGATTCCTAGGAATTCTCCTGAAGTTGGCAGCCCTGGCTTCAACAACTAACTTGTCACGGCAACTCTGGGGAGCATATTCTGTGATTTGACGCTGCAGCAGTGTGCGCCGAATCAACATGGCACTCCTAGCGGTGGACGGCAGAATTACGCTAATCACAGCACTGCTGTCGCTCCATATTTTATCCATTTGTCTATGGCTGTATTATTCTTTAAAATATGGTTTAAGTGAACCTTTCTACTACTTACCTTTAGCTTGATGTGTACAAAATTTCAAAACAATAATTACTTGTATATTCGGAAAACCGGTTTCAAATAAATGTAGTTTGAGCTGAATTATGTACATATAGATAATATTCTTCCATGGTGACAGCAGATTGTCAAATCTATGTCTTCAGGAGATGACTGCGTCGTTGAATGAGTAAGACTATAGGCCGCCGTTTCGGATGTGTTCTATCTCAGGGGCAAACTAAACTACTATTCAAACCGCTAGGTGAATTCTACTAGGTACTATTCCACTGCCAGTTGAAGATGAAAACTAAAATTCAGATGAGTTTGCCCTGAAGATGGATAGCTGATATGCAAGGGAAACTTCATCCCCAAGTTAATCATTAAACTTGGTAATCCCTCGGTTGTCACCTGAAGACCTAGATTTAGCAATAATGTATTATTTATTAGGTATATTTCTTTGACAATGTCACGTTTTTTTTTATAGCTATGCTGTGTACAAAAGTTGTTGTGACTATAAAGTTTTATTTGATTTTAGATAAATATATCAGTTATCGGTTTTTATTCATAAAATAGGTAAACCTTAAAAGTGTCATCATAATTTCGAATTTAATTAGTCGTTGTCTGCCATTTCATACAAATTACCAGATAATCAAAAATGGAAATAAAATATTCAGAAAATGTTGAATAAAAATACACCAATGATCCATCCATATGGTGTTTATTTGATTATGAGATAAAGAATCAAACCTTTTTCTTCGACATTCAACAATGAACAATACATTTCAAACAATAACCACTCAAAGCAAAGCCAGTCAATAGGAAAGGTTAACAAAATAATTATCACAAAAGCCTCCCAGCGCCCTAGACCAATAGTTGGTCAGTCATACTCGTTAGCAATGGTATGCTTTTTAAGGAAACGTTTCCTTCTTATTTCTATCATAGCATTTTTACCCGTCAAAGTGAGCAAAGCCCAAAACAATAAGGTTATTTTTAAAATTTCTAAAGGCTTAATGCTAAATTCATTTTTCCAAGGGGTGTTCATTTATTACTCCTTTGTTGCCTTGTGCTTATTGAGTGATAACGGAATAGAGCCAGACATGATCAATAATAACAAAACAATCCTTTTCACATATATTTGGGTCATCTATGTACTGCACACTTTACCAATCGCCTGTATTCTTCAGGTCAGAAAAAAAATTTTTGTTTTCAAAGACATTGTAGATTTAACTGAAGCTCTGCAAAAAAGTAACGTACTTGTTGCTAGAAATAGGATAGCATCCTATTTCATCCTTCTATACTCATCTTACTCATTTGGCTCTTACATTTACAGTTTAAAGGAGGAGTATTCATTGAAAGTTATGTTTTTAAACGTATTT